CCAGTATGTTGAGCGAGTTGAGATAATGGGATTGTTGGTAGGTTGCAAGGGAGGGGCTTAGGGGTCATGAAAACGTCGAGCATGAATCGTCTCTCCGCGAAGGCTTTATTGATGATAAGGTCGACATTTTCCATAGTTGCTGTGCAGTGAGTATAGATTGCTTTGCGGATTCCGTTCATCACAGAATCAAAGACAGCAACAGAGCCGCACACGTAGAGGTACCCGCCTAAACCTCCCTGCTTTTTCGACATGACGAGATCCGATATAGGGGCACCTTGCTCAACGATTAGTGTATCGATGTAGCGAGGAGGGATATGCCTCTCAACCAGGTCGTGTGTGTGCGGGTCGTAAGCGAGGCCGCGGGAATCCCTCGAGAAGGCTACATGAACTTCCATAAAACCCGCATTCACGTACTCTCTCAGCTCATCCTCAAAGCAAAATTTCTCGCGCGACTGAACACCCAAGTATAAGTGATTCTTGCCCCCAGACAAGCCACTGGTATTCAGGCGATATTGCCAGAAGCTTCGGAATGGGGCGATTCCGCTGCCACCGGCGAAGAACGCACAGGGAGCCATGTTATCCAAAGGCAGATGGAAAGCCAGAGGCCGGGATACGCCGACAAGAATCTCGTCGTCAGATACCATATCGTCTGATGGGGGGTGGGGGTTAAAGAAGCCACTTGAGACGCCAGCACGATTTATGTCATCTTGCTTGGAAAATGTAGAGCAAAGTTTGTACTCGGCACGCGAGATGGCCAAGTCAACGGTACTTGGGAGAAGCTCGTCTGTATAGCTGGCTATAGAGTATGTGCGAGGCACTTCGACCGGGATGAGATCGGCCAGCCATGAAAGGTTGTCGAGGTTGAATGCCTTATCCCATATTTGCGCTGGAGTATCCATAAGCGCGCCCTGCAGTAAATCACCTAGCGAGCCTCGGACGGGCCATTCGTCAGTGGCCAAGACTTGAAGGACGGTGTTCGAGGAAGCAGCAACGAGGCCATGTATCTTTAGGGCGAGCTCTTTAGTAATGGGTGCTAGATGACCTCGACGAAGTATATCAGCTACAGTCAGTTTCTTTGCTGTTGTTCTTCTAACAGACGCTAGATGCTGCTCGAATCGAGACCATGTCCCGGTAACATCGACCGGATCGTCGATACGAGTCTCCAATCCTAAAGCGGCGGCAACCTTAGCACATTCTTCCCAGCTGTTAAGGGGCATGACTGCGAGACGGTCTCCAGCCATGAAAGTTATTCCCGTATCTTGGATATCTAGAGTTACCAAGGCAATTGATCTCGTGGAGTCAGAGTCGACATGGGATCGGTTGAGGACTCTGGTCACATAACGGCATTCTTCAAAGGTACCTCTCATCTGATGTGGCTCGACCGGCAGACTCCCACCTACATATCACACACAGCGTTAGCTTCTGGGACGGAAATCTCTTTCTGCGTGTATCTGTGACTTACGATATGGTTCAAGACGTTCTTTCATAGCATCTGAGAACTGCTTGTGGGTTTCCTCCCATGGACGCGACGCATCTGCAGCACCAGATAGGCCGTTCGTTTCGGTACGTCCTGTCTTCGCAGCGATCTCTAGAATACCAAAGACTTTGTAACGATGAGTGCCCATGAAACCCCGCTCGCCTGTGTATGCCTCGATAATGCCGTCCAACACACCCATCAGTCGTGGGTCGCCAGACTGCTGGACGAATTCGGGGATGCGGTAGTGATACTCAATGGCAGCAATAAAGGCTCGAAGGTTAGAAGGAAGCCAGGCCCTCAGATGTACGCCCTCTGCACCGAGGAAGGATGTGTACCTATTAATAATTAGAAGCTGTACCCCTTTATTATAAATTGAAAGGTGTGGGAATAAGTATTGAGACCAGTTATCCCAGTAGCAATGCTACCCCTGGAGTCTTTCTCTCATGACTGTCTAACTTACTTCTTCCGTCCTAGAAATGCATCCATTACCAGATATGGAGGAAATTGTAAACCTGAAGAAGCTGGACATCTTCTGGATAAAGGCGCAGAAAATTTGGCCCAACGAACCCACTGATGAACCGGGACATAGTTCTCTCCCGAGTTCGGGTTAACATTGATAGAATGAAAAGCATTAGGCATCCGTTCTAGAATTTCCTTTAGTCGAATCATCTCACGAAGAAGTCCTTCTACGTTCCTGTTCATGACGTGCTCTTGACACGCAGCAATTGCGTCTGGGCCATGTTGGAAGGACGCTGTGAAGATCAATATTTGAACGGAAAATGGATAGGATGCTATGCTTACCTGACGTGTCAGCGCAACCTTTCAGGAAAGCTACCTCGGCTTTCTCGCCAAACATAGGCCAACGAAGATCTATATTCTCAGAGCGTGCAATATAGGGATAGGTCGAGGTAGGATCTCGGATCTTGATGTTGTAAGAGGACTGGTCGGGGAAGGTAAGATGAGGGAGAGTCCGGCCCATGCGTCGTGAGATCTGGTAATACGGCAAAGCTACACACCGCGGGATACCAACCAACTCCTCACCAAACTCATCGCCCATTGGGACGTTGGGCCTCTTCTTCTTAGTACGCGTAGAAGTAATACCGTCGCTACCATCATACTTTTCTTCGAAGCGATAAATTGAGCATATCACTATGGAGTTCAATGTCAGTATTCATAGAGTATAGAGGGGATAGGGGTATGTGTAATGAAGAATAATCCACGAGCATATGGCAAAATCGTGCTAGTTTTGCGGTGTCTAAAGAAAGCAAGGGGTCAAGGGGCAACAAGCTACTATAACGCATACTTACTCCCTAAAGCTACTAGAGCTGCCCACAACGCTTGGTCCGGGATCACCTCTTTGGTTCCTTCGACGAGGGGAAGCGCTGCAACGGATTCTTGGACACGCCCTCTTGCAACGCAACCGGGCATACGCTCGCAGAGATCGGCCCATACCCGGCCGGGAGTCCTTGCTAATGCGCCGGCGGCCTCTTCGTAGTCCGGTGGGCAGAACCCGTGCTCTGCGCTGAGATAGCCATCTAACCAACCAGTTTTTGGGCCGATCTCCTCTGCTCTTAGCATAACCTGCCTTGCTGGCGCGCCTAACGCTACGGCTAGTAAATCTTGCTCTCGAACGTTGAAGGCATCGAGCTCTGCTTGAGTCTTTACCGCGTCAATTTCCTGGACCGATGGAATGTTTGTATAAAGCAACTGATTTATCGATTTGCGTTCTCTACATAGGCCATTTTTAGCTGTTGTAAGTCAGTCAGTCTATTCTCGAATTCATACCTCATCCGGAGCCATTCCCCGGCATCGACGCCCCGCGGAATCTATTGCCATTAGCTGGTTATCGACGACTTTAGGCTTACAACTTAACGTACATTAAAGGCTGCATGAAGGTCTACTGGTTGGCTATATCCTGAAAAGGCGCAACCCCGAGGTCCCATTCGACTATTACTTCTGCTTCTGCTTGAATCTGCATGTCCGACAGGACATCTTCCTCCAACGGAGCCAGATACTGGACACGAGTATTCTGACATGACTATGATATTAGTAATGTGGATATAAAACTTGTAGGTATCTTGATCCGGACTAAGTTTTGAACGATCGTAAGGCCGCCAGGGCAAAGACAAAAACACTACCAGGACAGACTGAATAGAGAACGGCTATTATTTTCTCGCGGAAGAGAATATTAAGCACCAAGTGTGTAGTTGAAGCAAAGATACAATGGGATTCAATGGAATTTCCGTAGACTTAACAAAATCTAGACTTTGACCTGAGTGGAGACATTATACTGGCTAGAGCCACCAGTAAGAAGCTTGATAACTTGACGATACCTGGTAAGAGGTAATGTATTATTAGCGGTGGTGATGTCAATATCACATAATAAGATAAACCGAGATCATCTCCGTGTGACGCGTAATCTCCTATACTCTAGCGAGACGATGCCATCAGTTAAGGACCAGCCGAAGCGAAACATGCCAAGATAGAAGGAGCTTTTATGGGTTGAGAACTTGGATAAAACTTGGCGTCCTATTGCTTAAAAAATTCTAGTCTTTACTGGAGAACGATATAGATCTGGGATTTGGGAGGACGTGAGCAGCACAGCACATTTTATTTGAATCTTGCGGTGGTTTAGCTGTAGCTGCCATTCCATCAATGTCCTGAGATTCTGCCATACGACAAGACTCGCGGCTTAAAGCTCCTAATCCAACTTCGTCGCGGATAGGCTGTTCGCAGCCTCTTCCAATGTTCGAGCTCAAGGATGACAACATAATTCAAGGTCGATAAAGCCGCAGGTATGTTAGCGATGTCTTGATCAACTGACCTACTAAAGAACTGTATACGGTGTTAGGCACTTCACCTGGCCCTCGATTATACAGCCTAGCCCCTCCCAACTCTCTAGGTCAGAGGATACCGAGTTTGAAATGAAAGAGGTTTGAAGACGGGCGGATGTACTTCTAGAAGTTGAATATTCCGTACCAAGGCGCGGATCCTTCGTTTAAAAAGAATTAAGGCCAATTACAAGGGTCAAAAACGCATGCTGTTTACTCCATTAATTAATGAAACAGTGCCAGCCTCATTAAAGAGCCCCATTACCTAATGATTAATGGCATTTCTATTCTTATTATTGGCTTGTTCTAGAGCTAGTACTATTACATATTGCACATGGTACCTGAAATGTTTCGCGTCGTAAATAGGTAATCTTCTCGTCTTCGCTAACACATCAAGAAGGGCACCGTGTAATAAGACTTGTAATAAACTTAAATGTTTACGTTATTCTGTATGAATATGGCAACGCCAAGGGTTTAATACATAAAATCTAGAAAAAGTTGGATACCTACCTCAAGGTATAACAGGTATGTAACTACATATGCTATTATTAGCACCAGTTTGCCCCTTTCAGATGTTTTTGTTGAAATACTGCTCCGTAACCTAGTGGCGATTTCGTGCATCAAGCCGCTTTGATGAAACGATAGGCAACTTTTTATATCTGTTTTAAATGCCTGAAATATTTATCCATTAAATTCTTGTAACTTGCCGTGGCTGTCGTGATATTTCCAACATATCACGCAAGACGTCGTTTGGTGTTTAGCGTTACTTAGAATATTGCTACGAGGCTTTGCTCTTTAGAATATACAACATCTTATAACTATCGAGACAAATAGGAGTTCGTGTCAGATTAATTTAATGACCATATAGGCCGGGGTATCATATGCTTTATCTATGTATCTTAAGTTTTCCATCTATGGCGTTTTACTCTTCTTTGGTAGAGGGCGCTCGGCTTCGGATCTGCTATCCGCATCCTTCTTCCTCTTCTTTCCCTCGAGCAATTCTCGCTTCTCTTGTTTCCGCGCTTCCTTATCTAATTTTCCGATAACTTTGCTTTCCTGGCCGCATGGCCAATTTTCAAAAGCCGCCGCTTCTTGCGCTTCTGTCCATTCCTGCGGCAGCAATGCGAAGACGAGATATGAAGTATGCGTCTTGATCTCGGGTTCTGTCCGATGAATCACTCTCCCTATCATCCAGGGTTTAACCGATCGAGCATTTTCGGCTTCATTGCCTAGCATAGATGTTTTATTGCTATCGATAGGATTGCTATCGACCGTCGCCTCGTCATCTTCACCCATCTCAACATCGTCGTCACGAGATTGACCGCGGAAATTCTTGATTCGACCTTCGACTTCCTGTAACTTGGCGATAGCCTCTGCAACGTTTGCTGCTGTCTGGCTCGCATTTCGATCCCCCGCGGGTAAGTTTAACCCAATCCGCTCTCGCATGACATTTATCCTTTTATGTGCAACTTCAACCATTTCGATTTCCATCCAACCTAAGCGGCGCATGACGTCAATGGTCCTAGTAACTTGTTCAATGCACGGGGAGAAAGTGCAAAGATAGGCAGTCCGATCCGGACGAAGCGGGGATTTCCATTCAGATCCAGTATCTTGAAGATCATCTAGTCCGCTGCTTGAGAGTTGAGAGGGTGTTGGTCTGCTTCTCGCTAGATGGGGAAGTGCCTTCCAAGGTGCTGGTAGGTCGAGGAAGACGCATTCAGCTCCGGGACTTTCGCCGTCGACAAGAAAGCCATCATTATAGACATCTCTGTGGGTAATCTGAACGATTCCATCTAAGCGATGATCCTCAATTTCCTTTTGCATCTTCTGATATCGATCTTGGTGAAACTCGAAACTGAAAACTTTGCCCTTCGCATCGTCTGCGCCTTTGGGGTAACCATTATAAACGGCCCTGGCGGAAGCGTGCGTAAAACTACCGCTCCCCGCTCCAGCCTCGATTATTTTCATACCAGGACGAGCGCGGATCCGGTGAAGAATGTAGCTGTAGTCAGGTGTATATACTACTTGAGTTCGATGTGGTAAACTCGTTGTCCATAACTCAGGGGTAGGAGGTAGAATGTGGACGAAACCACTTGGTGCCGTCTTGACGTCCTTGGCCGCCGCTGTGCTCGATACAACATCCTCTGTACTATTATCTAGCCTTTCGCCATTTGCGCTGCTTTCAAGTTTCAGCTTTCTACCTCTAGAGCCGGTGTCCACGACCGAGGCGCGTATCTGCGAACCCCAAGGCTTATCGAGTAAAGTTGAATATGGAAATGAGCCAAATCGCGTATTTAAAACTGGCCCTTCAACATATCCGTCAGTTGTACCAGAAGCTTCTCTTAAGTAAATAGGCTGAATGCTATCTCGAGATAGATGAGCTAGAACCAATGTATTTAATGTCGTCCGAGGGCCAGGATCGAGAAATGGGGAGACAGCCGACATATTAATGTAATTCGTTCCGAGTATGCAGTATCAACTAGCTCGCAATCGACAAAAATGAGGTGTTGAGGCTGCGTATATGAAAGAATTGAATGAATATACCATGTATTTATCGAGGCTAAGAAAAAAAAACCCCTGGGTAAGGCTGGGATGGAGGGGCACTTTTGGTAATCGATAACGTTATCTACTACCTACTTTGAGGCATGAGATGGAGGGGTAGCGGAACCTAGAATCCCGATAATTTGCAAGGCTGCGTATTTCGTAAAGGAAGGTGCTCTATAACACAGGTTAGGTATCTATCATGTGGTGAAGTACCTACCTAACCTACGAGGGCTTAATTTAGCTGCGGCATTGTGGCATGTTAGGTACTTTTCTGCGGTGCCAACCCAAATTGCGACATTGTCTTTTGTATAGCTGACTCCAAATTATTTATGACAAGCCCCCTTCCCTCCTCCCCCTTTGCTCCTACTCTCATGTATGTTCATCTTGATGAACTTCCTCTTCTTTAGAGTATCTAGGCGGCATCTATTTAATACTCGCACATCCCAATACTTACCACGTAGAGGTTTTGCGACACACCCCATCATGTCTTCCACGATCCGGGTTCATAACTCTCTAAAGCCAGGAGGACCAGTACCTTTTGTTCCAATTGAGAAGGGAAAAGTCTCCTGGTATGCCTGCGGCCCGACTGTTTACGACCAGAGCCATTTAGGTCATGCGCGCAATTATGTCTCGACCGATATTATACGACGTATCCTGTTGCATTACTTTGGATTCGACGTCAAGTTCGTTATGAACTTTACAGATGTAGACGATAAGGTGCGAATATCATCTAGTTATCAAGGATAAAAATACACCACTAACTCTATAGTTATAAGATTATAATAAAAGCCCGGAGACAACGCTTGCTCGACCTCGAGAAACAAAAGAACTACACAGACGCCGAGACCATAGAATTAGCGAAAGCTGCGTTCCGAGAATATGCGAAGAGCAATCTCCCTAAGCTTCTCGAAGGCGAGGGTGAGCTAGATGTCAACAACTATATTCCGAGAAGAGATGCAGCGTATGGAAATGTATTGGCAGGGGGTACTCTGACAGGAGAAGGCAAGCCGGGAGACATCGAGGCAAAGCTGAAGATGCACATAAGTAATATGACCACCGCGGTCATTGCTATCGGTGGTAACCAGGTATTCGGGGGTGCCGACGAGATCTTGCTGCCGTATCTGGATTCCCTATATAAGGAAACCATTGATACGAGCGATCAGTCAATCTTCACCGATCTAACCCAGTTTATGGAGGGGGAATTTACTGACGATATGGATGCTCTAAACGTACTTCGTCCTGATGTGGTCACGCGAGTTACCGAATATGTGCCCCAAATCGCTAAATTCGTCGAAAAGGTTGTCGAGAAGGGTTATGCGTACGAAGCTGAGGGGTCCGTCTACTTCGATATTGCAGCATTTGAGAAGGCGGGAAATACATATGCAAGACTACGACCGGATAGTCGCAATGACAAGGCGTTACAAGAAGAAGGCGAGGGCTCCTTATCTAAGAGCCTCGGCGGGAAGAAGAGTGCCGGTGATTTTGCACTGTGGAAGAAGTCTAAGCCAGGTGAACCGTACTGGCCAAGCAAATGGGGCAATGGACGACCAGGGTGGCATATTGAATGCTCAGTAATGGCATCCGATGTCCTAGGTTCACGTATGGACCTCCATAGTGGTGGTATCGATCTGGCATTCCCGCATCACGACAATGAACTGGCCCAAAGCGAGGCGTATTTCTGCGAGCACGGTCATGAGCATACCTGGGTCAACTACTTCCTGCACATGGGCCACTTATCGATCTCTGGGTCGAAAATGTCCAAATCCCTCAAGAATTTCGAGACAATCAAGGATGCGTTGGCATCAACATATACAGCACGGTCAATGCGCATAGTATTCCTTCTCGGCCGATGGAACGACGGTGTTGAAATATCACCGGATATGAGAATCCAAGCCGACAGCTGGGAAAGCCTGGTCAATGTAAGCTGTATAGTAGTTCCTCCATTGCAAATGCCTACTAATACCACCAGAACTTTTTCACGAACACAAAATCGCTTCTAGCTGAGGCAGCCGGCTCTTCGACGACTGTAGACGGCGGTGTGAAGGCACTTTCGATTGATGATAAATCTCAAGAAGGCTTGCGAGCCGATTTAGAACAAGCCAAGAAAGACGTCGAAGAAGCATTTTCTAACTCTTTTGATACGCCACAAGTCTTACGAGCAATAGCGGAAGTGATTAGAAAAGCCAACGTTCATATTAACACCCAAAAGTCCGATGTGGACCTGCCAGCAGTTGAAGCAATTGCAAGGTGGATCACCAAGATAGTTGGTATCCTTGGTCTCGATGCGAACGCGAGCCCTCCTTATGAAGGTCTCGGCTGGGTTTCTGCTGCCGCGGCGACTAATCAAGATCCGACAACGGCCGTACAGCCATATAAGACCGTATATGAGACCGTCTATTCTGACGTGCGGGCTCTGAAGCTCCCTTCCTCCGAAACTATCACCAATCTTTTCTCTCAATCACCAGATCTACAGTTTGACTCTTTAGCTGGTGCTGGAACCAGAGACCCAGAGCAATTGGCATTGCCATATCTACGGGCAGTGGCGAAGCTACGCGATGAGCTCCGGCGTCTGGCTCCGACAGCATCACCAGAAGTGAAGAAGTCAATCCTAACCCTAAGCGACCGGGTGCGAGATTTTGATCTCACCAATCTTGGAGTCTACTTAGACGATCGACCGGATCAGCCGTCATTGATAAAATTTGTTCCCGCAGCTGAGTTGATCGCAGCAAGAGAGGAAAAGGCAGCCAAGGAAGCAGAGAAAGCACGTGCGAAGGAAGAAGCAAGAATTGCTAGAGAAAAAGCCGAAGAAGAAAAATGGGAAAAGGCAAAAGTGGCGCCGGAGGAGATGTTTAAGAGTGACGATCGGTATAGTGAATGGGATGCCGAAGGATTACCTACGAAGATGAAGGACGGTAGTGAAGTTGCTAAGAGCCAATTGAAAAAGTTGAAGAAGGACTGGGATAGGCAAAAGAAGGCACACGGAGAATACAAGGCTAAGTTTGGAGGGGGTGCAGCGTAAGTCGTGAGCGATCTATCTACATAACTAGACAGATGGCATTAAAAGATACCAGGTTTTGGGTTGCGTTAGTTATTACCTATAAACTATCATATATTCTTTCTATAGGCATAAAAGCAGTTCCATTTATCTATTTTAGTCTCGTTCACTCATGATACATAGCTGTATTTACATCCATAATTTCACAAGCTTCATGATCTCGGATGGACCAATAAAACGAGCTAGATTCCCCATGTCCGAACCCCTGACTTTCTCGACCCAGCGGTTGCGAACAAGCTTTGCCAAGCCGGGTATCGGCTTGGCATCCTAGCTTAAGCACCCTGTCGCTTTCAACCACACATGTGCTTCCAAGTTACATCGTACGTCCTAGTTGCAAATAAATCCAGCATCTCTGGATCCGACGCTAGCCCTCTCGAGCCCACCTCTTATGGCATAATGGTCGTACGTAAGTTCAGCGGGTAACAGCTTCACGACGAAACCAGCATGATGTCAATGGTGGTGGCTGGATTACGAAGCCCCCCTTTCGATACGCAGAGTAAGGATATCCAGTGATTCCAACCCTCGCATGTTGGATACTAGATACTAACTCGGTCCACCGCCAACCCTGAGGATTGCTTGACATCGTGACCTTGTTGGAATCGTTTCAGACTTCATCCTTGCGTCCAATGGGTTTAGGTGAAGTTAGCATGTGCTACCTAGGTGCTACCTAGGTAAGCCCGAGGTCGATGCCGGTACCTAACTCTACCATTATTTATTGGTGGATGAGGGGTGAGGATAAGCATTTGGCTTGGGAAATAAAATTACCTGAACCAAGTCACTTTACTCAGCAACATGCGTTTGCGTTGGAATTCAAAGCTATTGCTTGTTGAGCTATTATTATCCAAGATACATTATCCAAGATACATAAACAAGAGCTTTACAAGGTATTACTATCCTTGGCGGTATGCATATATAAGGTGTGACATATTATCTGCTCATGTTGGAATACAGGCAAATCACATCGCAGGAATGGCTAGAGACGGTCTACTCCGCCTTTCCGTTATACCGGCATACCCCCGTATTTGTTACAACAAAGGCGGAGGTGTAGTAGTTAGTTTGTTCTCTTCTGTCCATTACGTGTTGCAGCCCCAGCCCCTAATGCGTGTGCCGGTCGAGCCGATCAGGTTTCAGCAGCGTCTTCGGTCCACTTGAAGATGTCATCGCTAACTAAGTTTGTAATGAGGTAGCCTATGATGAAGCTACCTACTCCATTAGGTAGGTTAGCTATGTGTATCTATCTATCTATATAAGCATGTGTCATCCATCTTTCATTGAGTTTTGATTCTTAGCTGGACAACTTAACTCAACAATTTGAAGAATAAACAAGACGAATAAACCATTTTAACGACAATTTTATCAATATAACCTAGCAACCATGTTCGGATTTGGTATGTTCAGTGCTAAGAAGCTACCCACCGCCATGTGTTGTAAAGCTAATTGCAACCAGACGACGCCAAGAACGCCCGTGACGAGGTCTACGACGGCCAGCCTCACGAGTCGAAGCTGTCCCACGAGTTCATCGGCGGCGCCGCCTCCTTCGAGGCCATGAAGCTCTTCGAGGACCGCCAACGCAAAGAGGGTAAGCTACCGCAACATCACGCAAGCATCTACAATTAGAACTTGGAATACATCCACTAGTAAAACATTTACCTAACCTCGACCCCTTCACAGGCCAGCCAGTCAGCCACGCCTTCGCCAAGGAGCTCCTCGCCGGCATCGCGGGTGCCGAGGTCGACAAGCTCATCGAGACGAAGGGTCTAGACTTTGTAGACCGCGAGAAGGCCAAGCACCACGCTAAGAAGCAAGCTGAGGAGTTGTATGACAGCCAGTACGGCGACCAGGACCAGTACGACCCGTAAGTAGTCTCGCCCGGTGCTTTTCGTCAGGCATAAAGACGTAAGTAGAATATAATGCTGACGTTTTTGGGGCTACGTAGGAACAATAGCAACCGCCACCCCTCGATGGACTACTAGATCTGAGAATATCACCTTGGTTCGTGTGCGGGCACTGGGAATCGGCATGTAGCTAGATGGATAGCTATGAATGAATGGAATGAAATCAATATGAATAAATACTTGCCGAGGAGATTGAGTGTGAAGAGTGCTGTAGACTTTGCTCATAGCGAGTGTCTCCATTCTAGAATTCTTCTATTTAGAGTAGCTCCCTGCTAGGGTAACGGCTAGTTCCTGATCAAGAGAGGAATTGCTCTAGAAATCTTTTTTTTTCTTCAACCGCCATGTCTTGAATGGTTAATTATATGTGCTTTATAGTTATGTGTTGTATATATGACTTGGTTGACTGATTGAGCTTATGAGCAAGGGAAGAGCCTAGCTTTTATACGTGTTCTCGCTAAGGTGCCTCGTCCTATACCTCACAGCAAACCCTTGACTACCTAACCTATATGTTTGTCTGAAATTATCGTAACTCTGCATCCTAGATCAATATTCAAGCATGTTTTAGCAATCAAATAGTGCCACCTGTGAATTCATTATTTCAGAAAATTTACATACGCCAAATGCTGACAGTAATTATCTTCGTTTCCCGCCCATATCGGTCACCCTAATCTATCGCAATAGTATCTCTCTAGACGGTGACACCGGCTGCGTAGTGTTCAGCAGGGAGTTGAAAACGAGCAAGCGTCAGGTTGCCTACTTGAGAGTGCAAGAGGATAAGGCCCCTCAATATAGCCCTGTATTCTCCAGCTATTCCTTTGCCGGCAGTGTAGTAAACAACGCCATCCACCGGTATCCAGTAGCACTCGATAACTGGCTGGCACATTGGTGTCTTAGACTTTTCCCATCTGTTCTCCTTAAAAACGCCCGTGATTGTCGAAACGGCCAGCTTCTTAATTCGCACAAGCTCATCGTCCTCCGCGTCCGCTCGCTCTCGCTCTACTAACAGTCGCTCGTCCTCTGGCTAGACCGACACCACGACCTCTCGCGTTGCGACTTCGAAACATAGGGGCATTTCTATGGTAGACGTTAGTATTTAAGGTGCTTCTTCCCAAAAATGCGTGATGCATACTTCAACATGTCGGGCACGATAAAGAATCGCACGTGGCTGCCGCGGATATACACCTGATCCAAGTGGCTTACTCGTCCGTCGCGCGCCGTGACTGTGATGTCCTTGAGCTGTACGTTCATGTTGTCCTCGGCTACGCGTAGAGAAATTAGCTTTGAGGTATTCCGTGAAGTACGTATTGATAAACAAAACGCGGATTTACCTTCAAGTAGCTTGCCGCGATACGTCTGGCCCGAGGTAATCTCCAAGGTCACGATATGACCTTGCGCTTCGTTGAGAAGCTTGATGGGAATACCGATTGTCGACGTCATCTTGCTTGAACTGGAGAGAGAGCGATTGCAGAAGGCCTTCTGTAATTGGAGAGGGCTATAGCGCGCGGTTGAGGTTCGTTATGTATATGCGGTTCGCGACGCTTTCAAGGTATTGTGTGTGTATTGATGCATGAACAATTGGAAACGACCTAAAATTAATCGAATTGCTAAGGCTGGAGGCTGGAGGCTTGAGGCTTGGAGCTTGAGTCGAGGTGGGAGATTGGATTTTCCGCTCCGTTGTGTGGCTTAATTTAGACCCACCTTTCACAAGTCACCATACCTACCTACCTATCCATTTTTGCTCGCCTTTTCTCTTGGCAAGTTGGAAATTACATAGGTACCTACCTAGGTACCTACCTAGTATACATAGATGGAATGGACCCTGCGTGAATCGGTACCTAGGTACTTGGATACTTGCCCCTCCAAAAAAGCTCCGGAGACTGCCCCTCCATTTGACTCACTTGGCTGTTGCGACGCCGTAATCCTCCAGCTGTCCTCCTACCTCTTAAGATCCTACCTCTTAAGATCTTACCTCTTAAGAAGCTGGTTACCTTAGGTACCTACCTACCCTTACCATACTTTCCAATTGAAGGGCTTTAAGCTGGATTAGAGTTCTTATTGATACCCACGACTGACGAATTAACTCGAGCACTAAATATGGCCTCAGAGCTCGAGGCACCGGCCAAAGAGGTTCCGTCCGCTGCGGATCCCAATGTTGTGGCTTCTCACCCGTCAAAGCAGACAGTCGACCCGTGGAATGTGGCTGGTGAGGTTGGTGAGGATGGGAAAGTTAAGGCGATCGACTATAAGAAGTTGGTGGAGGAGTTTGGCACCAAGCTGATCGACAAGGAGATACTGGAAAGATTCGAAAGGGTTACCGGTCACAAGCCTCATCGCTTCTTGCGACGCCAAATCGTCTTTAGCGAACGCGACCTCGGTATAATACTGGATCGTTACGAGAAGGTATAGCTTGAAAGACAGACAATTACTTATTGGCTATATCTAAGTGATGATCTTTAGGGTGAACCTTTCTTCTTATACACTGGTCGTGGTCCTAGTAGCGACAGTATGCACATCGGACACACACAGATCTTCGACTTTTGCAAGTTAGTATATATCCGTGACTTAATTTACTTATATGACATATAAAGATAAATAGACTAATGAAGTGGTTCTAGGTGGTTACAGGATGTATTTGATGTGCCCCTAGTTATCATGCTTACGGATGGTTCGTATTTTTGTACCGTCTTAACGGACTACGGTGGCTGATAGCGACGTTCAAATAGACGAAAAATTCCTCTTCTCAGAAAAGAGGACAGTCGAGGAAGTCATTGGCTACTCGCGAACCAACTGTCAGGATATCATCGCCATAGGCTTTGACCCTAACAAGACCTTCATTTTCTCCGACTACGAATTCATGGGAGGTGCTTTCTATAGAAATGTCACTCGATTCGCCAAGCTAGTTACCTATAACCAAGCCAAGGCTACGTTTGGTTTTGACGAAAGGTAAGTTTCCATTCTTCCGCTATCTATCTCATGGAGATATCCTGTTTGTGCGCACGTAACAACGGTCAACTAATATCGCCATAGCTCAAACATTGGGAAGATTCACTTCACTAGTATACAAGGTGCTACTGCATTCGCGACTACTTTCCCGCACATATTCGGCGACGATGAAAAGAAGGTCGCGAGTATCCCATGTCTCATTCCCTGCGCTATCGACCAAGACCCTTATTTCCGGTTGACTAGAGATTGCGCTGCCAGGTTAAAATACGCCAAACCTTCTTTAATTCATTCCCGGTTCCTTGATGCCCTACAGGGTCCGGGCTCGAAGATGTCTGCCAGCATCGATTCTTCTGCCATCTTCATGAAGGATACCCCTAAACAGATCAAGGACAAAGTCAACAAATATGCTTTCTCCGGTGGCCAAGTTAGCGCAGAGGAGCAAAGGGAGAAAGGTGGAAATCCCGACATAGATGTTTCCTACCAGTATCTGCAATTCTTCATGGATGATGATGAAGTATGTTATCGCCTTTACCCCTATGTATTCCTAACACTAATGAATATAGGAACTAGCAAAAATTGGACAGGATTACAGGGAAGGCAAGCTACTAACTGGAGAAGTATGTGTCTTTGCTTCCACATAAGTATCAAGTTGCTGACTTTTACTCTAGCTCAAAGCAATATGTATCAAGTATCTCCAGGATTACGTCGCCGCATTCCAAGAAAGGAGAGCGAAGGCGACGGAAGAGACTGTCAAATTATTCATGTCTACACGGCCGTTAAAATGGGGAGGCAATCCCAGAGCGCAGAGAACCGTCCCCGTTGTAGAGGCGGCAGAGGCAAAGCCCGAAGGTCAAGATGGAGAGGGTAAGCTCACGAAAAATCAGTTGAAGAAATTAGAAAAGGAGAAACAGATAGCTGCGAAGAAGGCTGCCAAGGCTGCGGAAAAGGAGGCTACAAAGGCCGCCTCGTGACTCTAGTCAACATGAATCAACTTCTAAAAAGTGCATAACAGATCTGCCGCTCTTTTGTGGCTTTATGTAGGGTCTAGATTATACATATGAGGGTCAGGTGGCCCGCTCAGGATCATCTACCTAGGTACCCAAGGTACCCAAGCATCTCTTAATACGACTCGGCTAATTCCATGTAACCACAGCGCTCATTTAAAAATAACCGGTTGTCTCCGCCTACGATCAACTTTAAGCTCGAAGACATCTAACCTTTGATACCCGCCCGCAAGATCGTGGTACTGCTTCCCCTCTATACAGTCCTCCAAGTCAACGTCAGCATACAGGATGCCTTCCTCCTTCTGAAGGAAATCCCTCTGCACCTTTTCTGAAGTCCTGGGATTCAACGTGAAGCCGGGAAGTAGGGTCCCTGTTGTATCAAGAAACATCGTGGCGCCTCTCGGTAAACGCTCTAGTCCTTGCGCTACTACCTCTGGCTCGCTGGAACCGAATGATGATAGCGCGATGGCATCTTCACCGAGGACGCCAGCGCAGAGCACACCGAAACATTTCGCTTCGAAACAGTGCGCTGCGGCGCGTGTTCTGTTTGCGCTGACGTTGTCGTAGTCGGCCCCGCGGGCGACGCTTGAACGGGAGGTTTTTGCGTCGCTTTTATTGCTCTCTACGACGTGGACGTCTGGTGCGACACCGTGCGGTAACCGCGTAGGCCACACGGCAGGCCAGGTACTGATATGGATCTGCTCGCCCTGCGCCGTCATTGTGTACAAGGCCAGGGGATTGGTGTTTTCCCCACAGATCAGCACTCCAACCTTGCCAAACTGCGTCTCGGCAACTTGAAGACCGTGTCCGTCACCCGGAGCCCAGGTAAGCTTTTCGTAGAACGTAGGCATGAGTTTCCGATGATGAACCAGGATCTCGCCATCAGCTCCGATGAGCACGTTCGAGTTAAATAGAGTAGCGCTGCTGTAGCGGACCTTTTCGGAGAAGCCGAGACTGACGAGCACGCCGAACTGCTTGGCTGTCGCGCGGATTGCGTTTACTTCTTCGCCATCGGCGTAGATGGACTCTGTCGCCATACGCTTGAAGAAGTCGTGGTTCTCTGTCGGGGCACGCAGCGCGCTCCAGATAGGAAACGCAGGAATATACGACTCGGGGAATACCACGAGATTCGCCTTATTGCTCGCGGCTTCTTGGATCAGCGATATCGCCTTAAGGGTCGTATCCTTGGCGGAGAGGAAGACCGGCGAGACATGACATGCTGCAATCCGCGTTAGACTGATATCGTTGCCCATTGCTACTGATGAGCATTTGGTTTCCGAAGGAGAGCTTTCAAACATCGGTGTTTAATTTCTTTGTACGAGAGGATATCGCTTTCTCCTCACCTTGACGGTACAAGTGCTTCTAATAACCGATTGCTTCGGGCTCTGAACTCGGCACCCGGGATTTGCTCGTTGGCGAACTTGTACACAACGGCGCGGAGACATGAGGGGAATCGCATGATGCTGGCCTATAGCCGGTGTTTTGGACTAAATACCGAGGATTCGCATTTTTATGTGTCTAGTTGTTATTACCGGGCGGTGTAGAGAGGATTAATATGTCACTGCGGCATATAATGTAAAGAATTGAATATCGAACCCTTGGACGGAAGTTGAAGTTGGTTGTCGTTCTAGTAGTACGATGCAAATTATACCCCTATTTATTACCAGTTTACGAGGACATGATGCTTCAAAGGCATGTATATATCTCACCCTCGTTCAACTAAAGATGCCCTAATTTCATCTCAAACAACGCCGGCTTTTATTTTCTACAATACGATTAAATAATTACTTAATTCTATCTAACAGGTCATTGGGGTAAACTTATTATTCCGGCCCAAATAAAACCTAAAGTTGCAGAGAAGACAGAGTTAAGACTGAGGGCTAGGACTAGGTAGATATTCTGACGAATAATGAATACTTATTTCCAAAAGACGATTCCATAGTTGGTCCGTAAGTGCCATTACGTGAATCTAGACGCGAGAAAGCACTATAATTTTGACGGAGGTGTGTGTTCTCAGATATTCTCTGTAATGATGGAATAGCTATGGCACTGGAGTAAAGGCCAAACAAATAAAACCCAACACACTATTTCCCTAGCACAGTCCACCCATATATAAAGCACTTTATGTGTGTGATGGGCACAAATTACTGAATTCGTATTGATCTTTGAAGATAGTTGGGAATGTGTCGCATATGTTATAAGTAATGTCATATGAAGAAAAAGGGGTTAACCCCTTTTTCGGTATACGAGCCGGTCAGGAATAAAGCAATGAACCCATACACAATACTACAAACTGCTTTTCAAACGAGTTACATCTGAGTCTGCTCACTCAAGTTCCAACCTCACCCACTACAGGAGCAGCAATCTTCTCCCCCTTCAGCTTAATCTCCCTCCCACCCCTGCTCCTCGCGTTGTCCTTGCCCTGTCTGATAGCCACAGCCTTGTGCGCCTCCCATTCCTTCGCGTTCATCGTGTTATCCTCTTCACCCTGCTCCAGCTCAGGGATAAGACTGTCGCCTCCCGCGAGTCTCTTCATGGGAGCTTCGGCCTGGGGCCTGACCAAGTAGGCGTGGCTGTAGCGGGGTACCTGGCCTTGGGCGCCGGGTGCGAAAGTAACGCGATGCATGTTGCTTCGGAGCACGCCTGCGCTCCACTCGACCATGGCGTCGCCAAGATTGACAATGGCACAACCGGGAGCGGGCTTCACGTAATGCCAGTTAGTCTCGTCGGCCGGATCCGTGCCGGGGGACAGTAGTTGCAGCCCGCCGGTAATGTTGAATAGGATGGTGAGTGAGCCGATGTCCGTGTGTCCGAGAAGAGACGTACGACGGTCTGTACTAGGCTGGGGTAGGTATCTCAGCAAACGTAAGGCAGTCCCGGATGGTTTATCTAATGGCTGTAGAGATGCGAGTGTGCCGGGAGGGAGATGGAGCTGAGAGTCAAGTGTAGCACAAATCAAGCGCACGATCGAATGGGCCTGCTCCATGTAATTCTTTAGAGCCGGTCTACTCTTTTCGATACAAGGTGGATTAGACAACGGGGCAGATACTCCCATTATGTCGTCTCGCCCTACATTGTAGAACTCCACACGGTCTGGTCGACCGTCTTCGATCTTGAGGTTGCCAGCTTCTTTGTATCTGCACCGCCCATATTAGCATCATTCTACATGATATAAAACAACCCTAATAAGAGCAACTTACCCGAATAGGGAGTATGGAGGCTTGTAAGCATATTTCATGAGTTCCTCGACATCAATCGAGTTGACTTCCTTATCGAGCTCGAACATGTCCGCAGCCGACTGGATGAAGGATTCACCCTCTTCGCATCCTGCGAAGTCAAGAACGAAGAATCCCCATGCCCGACAAGCCTCGAAAAGAGTCTTGGCCTCGGCTGCGTCATTGTTCAGCAATTTTACGAAGCTAACGCGCTGAAGCTCGGCAGTCTGTACATCATTAGGAAATGATGGATACTGGTCAAAGTAAGCTTGCGTCGGCATATCGTGAATGATAACAGCTGGTGTTAGGGATAATTGCTGAAATAATGGAGTTTACAGAACTATGACGACGTCGATATCACTATGTTTTATCAGTAATAAGTGGGGGATATCGCAAAGGAGAATGAATGTGTGGACACGAGAAAGATCATATTAAACTGCGGATTTTGACAATATTTCAAAGCCTAGTTTACACTACATGAGGTGCGGAGCAAAGGGGGAGCTCAATCATTTGTTAGGCTTCCAGACGTAGTCCTAACTTTCAAACTTGCGTAATCCGATGGTTTGTCGTTGGCTCTTGCAATCCTATCAAAATCTATCTGCATGATGTAGGTCAAATTAGACTCCCCGGATGTGATAAGAAGCTTTATTAGGTAGCTTACTGACATTAGCGTGAATCCTTCTACCAGGGTAGGGTGAGGCCACTTCTACTATAAGGATCTACGAGGACCCCTTTGTTCGGTAATGTGACCATGGAGCCAAGGTGAATGCAACTATATTCTAACATACCGAATAAATGCAACGCTGTTCCAACATATAGATATGAACCTACGCTAAGAGAATTCCATTAGATGTACTAACCTATCACAAAGTCGCATCATTACTGTAGTTGGCTACATGTAGCCAACATGTGGTCCTACAGCAGCCTGTGCCACCTGAGATGTAGTATAAGAAAGTTTCGTCCGGGAAAATTACCAGAGTAGGAAGTTCCTTTGTTGGAGTTCGTATTTTTTGAAACCATAAAGTCCGTAGGCCGAGCTCTCTGTGTTGGAGGATCGAGGGCGCTATTTGTACCCTGAAAAAGGTGGTTGCTTGGATCGGTAGGAATAGCTTCGCCGGCGGCTTAATAAGGCTAGGAATAAAGAATAAGCATTATAGGTCACCACAGATTATGAGTACCTATGATTTTATTAGAAAGTTAAGTTCCTAGAAGCATATGGTAATCCGTAGTTGGTGTCACGAGGTGAAACTAAATAGTAGGGAAGCAACTTCGTTGTTCCGCGAAGGACTCTGACCTATCTACAAGGGTCTATATCTATATAGACATACTGAACATTTTCTTTATTCTAGTTGGTTAGGTATCTATGTGTTATCTCTGAAATACAGACTAGGTACAATGTGTAGACCTCCAGCCACCTGATATCCCAAGAAATGAATTCTATCGATGACCGCTTCCAGTGACGCAGTCTTAGGTTCGCTCGACTGTATAGCTTTGTTGTAACATGATGCGAGCCTTGTCCTTGTCATTGCAATTGTCATTGAGATCATGTAAAGGGTACCCTTGACTAACAGTCGTCACGGTTGAGAAGTCTTGTGTGTGAGCAGCAGGTCCTCTGTTGCTCCCAATATGATTCTGGCTTGGAGACCCCGAGGCTTGTTTCCCACTCATTTTGCTGTATGTCATACGATCTTTCTGCTTCTTAAATAGAGGCATAAGTGTAGGTATACAAGCAGCAATGACAGCGAGAGAGAACTCGAGATCGGCAACGAGCACGATAGGCACGATCGTATCTAAATATTGTTAGCAGGGGCACAAGACATTGTAGGCTGTTCGTAAGTATTCGTACATGTAAAGTCAGATTCAGTCAAATTCGGAATATAGGCGTTTCGCAATGCGTTGGCAATTGTTGCCATCAAACCAAGGCTCATAAGGCCACAGATGCCAACCTTTTTGCTTCTGCTTATCTTGATATTCCACAAAATTGCTATCGGCGAAGCTGTCAAAAACAAATCCGCCAAGATTGCAAAGCCAGATTGCACATAAGAGGCTGTCAACGGCACGTTTTGTGAAATGCAACGCCCCTCAGTAGTCGGGGTCCAGAGCGCGTCGAGAGGTATGCATTGGAGAAGAACGGTGAAGACAACCACTAGAGTGGACAATGCAAGTGGCGTCAAGAATATCCAAATCGTAACCCGAATGTTTTTCGAGTTTTTGAGACGCAAAAGGAAAATACCAATAGAGAGCTTAGTAAAGAATGCCCCGATAACGTTCAATGCTTGGTAGACGCTGTTCCATTTGAGAAGCAGCAAAGCTGCAGCCTCTGGGTCGGCAAGTTCAGTAAGATGGTAACCAGCACCTATTGCCACCATCTTGAATATCACAACATCCCCAGCGATAAGGACGCCCTAAGAGACATGATTTAGAATCAAGATGTATTATAATTAAGATGCTATAAAAGTGGCGTTTGCTTACGAGGGTAAACACCATGATACCGTCATCCCAGCCAAAATTCTTTGTCATTAGCAGCCGAACATAGCAACGTAACGCAACGAGGATTGCTCCGATTCCAAGCAGGATGGAAGTGACCGCAGTGGTAGCAGGCCCGCTGCTCACGTGTTGATTTGTTGCGGCCATCGACAAAGTGAGGCACGGGATAAGAACCTAAACTGAAGAACTTGGAAGCACTGCCGAGTGAATCTTGTAAGAAATAAAAAAGGCAGAAAGGAAGGGATGGGTAAAACTACGACGGTAGCGGCAATGAGCTGACAAGCGGCTATAGCTATCCCGAGCGAGAAAGATATACCCAATAATGGTGTGGCGATGGCATGGGCCGAGCTATATCACTATACAGAGATATAAAGAGATAGTAACTTATCGAAAGGATCGGTGAGTTACTTGCAGCCCCAGTATAAGATGATCGTCATCGTTAATGCCCCTGAGGGTTATCAACAGGGGCTACATGACATGATACAGAACCAGCTACAAGTACGCGGATGTTGGTGCGGAAATGCTGGTTCTGACCTTACAAGGTAAATCAAAAACTTGCGGATTACTATACTAGGCTAAAAATTATTATATTGTTATCTGATTGGTTTGTCTAGCGTTCCATTCGAAGGAGTGCTAGAAAGGCCGGATGCCGTAACAATGTCTATGAAGACCAAACTTGGAAGCTTCTTAAGGATAGTCTAGGTCCTGATGCCTGGGTATGTGACCATCATCATCTCCGAGTTGGGTCAATTACGCGTTTCTAAAAAGTAGAGATATGGGAACAACCAACACAGTTTTGTCTTGCACCTCCTAAGCCTTATTGCGGGATGGCATTTTGCCGTGCCGCAATGCTGCGGCCTAAGATGTATAACCTCAGAAGTACAAACGGATCAGAACCAAAACCATATCTGGTCTTTCGGTATGCTCCCTAGCGAAGCTTGCGGTTATAAGTTAATTAATGCCGGCATCTCCATCGCCATCTTGTCCACTATCAGCCCTAACTTGAAGACAAAATTTGTAAGAAATCAAAACCGGGACGACAAGGTACGTGAAGGTTTCGATCGAGGAAGGTTTTTATGTTACGCGTTTAGAAAGTACTCTAACGCTTTTATAGATATACAAAATGGCCAAAGCTGATTCACTTATATCTGCTCTGTACACTCTATGGCTTTTCCCGCTCAGCGACATCCCTACCATGATCATACCAGTTACGCTCCTCGGTATGCTTACGGCAGCTTCGGGTCAGTTTGGTACTTTGGCAAGTAGCAGAGACGTCTTGTTGAGATTACCACAGACGTTTAGCTGGGTTTGGCTGAATGTCTTCCTCTTCTCGATATCGAACCAAAGAAGTAAAGAATCGATTCTGGAAGACTCGATCAACAAGCCTTGGCGACCCCTTCCCGCCGGTAAACTTGATATGAGCCAGGCCAGGCAGCTTCTGTTGATCGGGATCCCCCTTGTGCTCACATCCTGTTCGTTATGCCTCGGTGCGGCGCAAGAAACGGCGTTTTGTTTAGTACTTACTTGGATGTACAACGACCTAGGGGGCGCCGACGAGCACTTTGTTCTTCGAAACATGATCAATGGCGTTGCGTATTTTTTCTACGGATCCGGCGCCTTGAAGGTTGCTACAGGATCAGAGAGCGTAGGGTCCGAGGCATCCGTATGGCTGCTTATGGTTGCATGCATAATTACAACTACCATGCAAGTCCAAGATCTGAAGGACCAGGAAGGGGATAAAGCCCGGAAGCGAAGTACGGCACCTTTGGACCTTGGAGACAGGGTGTGTCGGTTCAGCATTGCAGTTGGTGTAATATTGTGGTCACTAGCCTGCCTGTCTTATTGGCCGTGGTCTCCAATCGGGTTACTCGTGGTATTGAGTCTAGGATCCCTGGTTGTGTGGCGGGTAACCTTATTGCGCAATGCTGCCGAGGATGCGTTGACCTACAGGTGGTGGAGCATCTGGCTGATCAGCGTCTTCTGCCTTCCTATTATTGCATCACACTAATGACAGGGCTGAAGGCAAGTAGTTGTTTATTAGTGGTACAGTTCGTTGGTGCGGGAGCAGTGAGATCATGTTGGTTGTATCGTTGTTGACTTGCCCTATCTGGTCCTTTGCTTGGCTATAAGGTTGGAAGTACAGTATTCAAAATCACTCTAGAATTTCCAAATATTCCCTTTGCTATATTACTACTATGGATGTTTTACTTATTTATCATTCTAAACCCAACGTGGAAGAGCCTGAAGTTTCATACGATCCCTCAAACCTTCGTTATGTCTATACATAATATCCATGTCCCGTCACTCTCTCGCATATGGACTTCTCACGTCCAGTTCTCAGTCACAACACCCGTCATTCTTATTACTTTCTATGTGCTCGTGGCTCGCCTATTGCGATATCGCCGCGCGAATTCGAACACAAAGATACAATATAGCAACCCTGAACATAGTGGTGATGGCTCTTCTGTACGTCGCGCTCAAGTTGTCTATAGATCTTTGATCAATGCGGAATTCCCCTTCTTCTTTGTTAAAGGAATTCAGCTTGCGCTGTTTCGAACTTATGCAATACCCACAATCTCGTCCCTCTTAGATAAGACAACGGTATTGTCTTCAAAATCTTCAGTACCACGCCGATACTCAGAGACCTGGGCGCTCTTTGTTGAATTTGCGTTGGCTGATTGGGGTTCTGAGCGATGGGTTCAGGCTATGGGGCGGACAAGAGCCATTAATGCAGCTTACCGCAAGTCAGGCAAAGTCCGAGAAGATGACATGCTATATACACTTGCGGCTCTTGCAACTCAGCCTGTACGGCTGATTAATGCCTGGGAATGGCGGAATCTGACAGATGCGGAACTTTGCGCCATTGGGGTGCTCTATCGAGCGTTGGCCGAAGCCTTTGACATTGACTGGAAAAAACAATTTGCCGACATGGCCCAGAAGGAGAAAGCAAGCCAGGCGGTCTCTATATTCGGCAAAGTTTCCGTTGACTTGAATAACACTGATAGCACTTCTCCCTATTCTGGGCTAACCTTTTTTCACTCCCTCTCTGCTTGGCAACAGCTATACGAAAATCAAGCAATGAGACACATGCCGGCAAATCACTTCTTAGCAGCTACTGCCATAGACCTCCTTCTTTGGGGAGTGCCAGGAGTTTATCTCAAGCGAGTTACGACCAGGTTCCTCGTAGCCTTAATGGATGATCATCTTCGCATTGCCGTTGGATATCCGGCACCTTCTGTTATATATCGAATATGCGTGAAAACCATTCTCACAAGTAGGAAACTCGCGCTACTATATCTATCCCTTCCAAGGCCGGATTTTTTAACTATCCAACCGACTCGCGTCATGGATTCAAAGGTTTCTTATCCACAAGACAATTCTCCTGATGGCGTTTTAAAGCAACAGAGCAGGACAATCTTAACATCGTATGTTGCAGCGCCTTACTATGTTAAGCCGACGATCTGGAATCGCTGGGGACCCGGTGCTTGGTGGTGGTGGTGTTTAGGACATCCTCTTCCCGCCCAAAATGACCAGCATTTCATACCCGAAGGCTATCTTATTCCTGAAATTGGTCCACGACAGGGGAAAACCGCCACAGCTCAGGCGAGAGAAGAGCAGGCGGTAAGAGCCTTGCTATACTACGAGAACATCAACAAAGACTGAATAGAGATACTTGTCACACGGTAGTATGCGCTAAGATCATGTTGGGAGTTACGCTATCCAACAGTAGCGGTTATATTGATGAGTGATCATGAGAAGTTAGGAAGATAAGGTTTACATATAGCTAAAAGACTTAAGATTGATTTGCAGAAGGACCGTTAAAGCATGAGTATAACATTAGATGCAGGACCTCATCTCCCTCGAACCCTTAAAAGGGGGGAGATGAGATGTCAGATAATAGATGCTTGATTGATTTTAACTAAGACTAAAATAATTTCTTTTTACAAATACTCAACATAACATCTGAATGTCTAAATAACACGCGACTGAAGGTCATGTGCTGAGATGTCTTATGGTACATTTTATAAGGGATTATAAACTTTACGATCTTTAAAACTTATTATATTGGTTTAAATTTTAATTATTTATATCGCTATTTTACTTGACTTTCTATCAATGGCTTAAAACCTCGGGACTTACATAGTTTCAAGGTTAATTCCCATCTTGCCATGTTGGCCATACAATTCTGCTTGCATCGTTTTTGCTCCAATAACCCGAACCGCCCTTTTGCCAAATCTTTGAGCGCTCTTCAAATGACTCGCGCATCTCGTCCATATCATCGTAGGCACGTTGAAGCTCAGAATCTTCCGGGGTATTTTCAAATAGTTTCATCATGTCGTAAGTTTCGATGCGATCCAAGTCCCAGAAGACATAAGCTCGCTCCCTCAACCCATAATTGTTTGTGAGCATGACCCACGCACTGCGTGGCAAGGGGTTGAAGGCCACACGCCATGCTTCAAATGGGCCCTTATCTGAGTCCTTGTCTTGGCTTTCAGTAGGAGGGAACAGAGCCGCCAGGTCCTCATCAGCGTAATCAGAAAGTGGGACATCATCGTTTAAGTCCGTTTCGGGCGGTGATATAAGCGCTTCGTAAAGGTCGACTTTACCAGCAACGAACGCAGACTTCAATAGCGCCTTTTTGCTGTTGTATGAGCTCTCACTCATCAATCTGTGGATGAAGTCGACACCCTGTGATAGCTATGTATGACCATTATTTGTAAGCAATAGATGCGGCGGATAGAGTAAGTATGTTGGACTGTGGCTTACCCAGAGTTGCCTGAAATGGTTATTGTCACCAGTCGTAATATAATCGATCTCTAACTCTCCAAACTCAACATCATGAGCTAGCACATCATGGGAGGCTGTGAGCTGAAATCAGAAACTTGCGCTGAAGGTTCATGGTCACACATTCGTCGGAGATAAGCTTTGATGGGTGAATAACAACTTACATTGTGAGAGCTTGAGCTCGAGAAAGTCCTGGACAGAGGCGAGCTGCTCCTTTTCCCAAGGTGGCAGATTAGAAAAAAAGCGGTGTTCATGAAAGGGTACAGATCCCAACGAATTTCTGCAGCGAAAGAGGCAAAAATATAATTCCACCCGATAGAAGGCTCGGCAAAAGCGGAGATATTCTGACGACGACAAGACGAAGCTCCCAGCTACTTCCGATCCTTGATCCTTAGATAGGAGTGTCCATGCGCTGCAAGATCTCAGCTGCCACGCCTGGATTTTCTTTGAAGCACGAGCACACATGGCGACAGGTGAGAAGCGAGGGCAGCAGGAAGCGCACATTGCCCAGCTCACGCAACACGGAGATCATGATCTCGCAAGGGATTGCTGTGAAAGTAGACATGTTTGTTTGGCGTAGTTAGATAATTTTCGTGAAGTTACGTGTGGTGTGCTGCTTCAACGTGATTACATGTGACCCAAATCCCGTTTTTGGCCCCCAAATCGTCGTCTGAGCCTAGATACCTATCCTTACCCTTTTGGGCACGTCGAGTTCCCGCGATTTCATCGAGAGCACACCACCACGATGAGCCAGCAGATGCCCAGCAATAAGGACGCCCTAGGAGATATCGTTTAGAATCAAGATGTATTGTAACATCTGACATTCAAGCATAAATAAGACCCTATCTCTCTCGAACCCTTAAAAGGGGAGAGAGGAGATTATGGACTTTATGATCTCTAGAGAATTGGCATATTGATTTGATCTTTAGTCCAATCTTTTATTGCTAAGCTTTTGTCACAATACATATTTGTCACCGGAATTAGCTTTATTTTGATAAACCAGAAAAGGGGGGGAGGTGGCGCGGGGGAGGGGACGCGTTATGCACAAATAATTACAACATATGTATAAAAAAAAAAAAAAAAAAAAAAGAAAAGAAAAGAAAAGAAAAAAAAAGAAAAAGGGAAGAAAAAATTCATTCAGGGTGGTTTCTTTTCAGCCAAAGGTGAAGACTTAAAGCTCCTTGATAATTGACTATATGAAGCAAACTTTAACAGATTAAGGCAAGGGATTCATAATACTATAAATAAGGCCCGGGAACCAGGTTCTATAGTAGAGCCATCAGATTCTAAGACGTATGGATGTTATCAATGCTAGATTAATAAGAGGAAGGTTGCGGCTAACGTTGCAATGGAAGATTTAAAGGTACGTCCGTCTGACGTCTCGGGAGATGGCCAATCGCATACATTGCGGTCTGAAACATACACGACAGTCGGTCTACCCGTTTGAGGCGACGATGGCTTGCGGAGAATACCGAGCCTACTATACATTTACGAAGTAGTTTATGGAAACTCCCCAATAAGGTGGCGCAGTTGCTATATGTAAAGTGTGGCCCCTAGCAAAGGATTGCGGCATGGCGAAAAATGTAAGGGTGATCCCAACACTCCTTACGAATTCGGTAAAGCGAGAGGAAGTGGAATTTCCCAAACTGTCGGTTGGCTATTTTGTTTTGATTTCAGGGAGAAAATAAGGATGGAAATATCCATTGGCGGTTTGAACGATATCGTACTTATAATATAAGAACGTATGTATTGCTGTCTGAATACTGAAGTAGACTTAGCCAGTGTGCGAATAATTCGGTACGCATCTAAATATCCATCATGCCGTCTATAAAACTAAGTGGCTTTTTATTAGCCCAGTCTCTTTTGTCACTGGGCGCGAACGCCCTCCCGAGCGCATCCCGTATTAGTAATGATGATGTTCGGGATCTCGGCCGGCGCGGCCTGGGCTTTGATACCGATACGCCGGATATCCTGAGATTTAGCGAATTATACGGCGCACCCGAAAACAACTTCGACTGCAAGAGTGACCGGAATCCCGTCGTCATGCTCCACGGGCTCTCGGCAAACCGCGAAGTCGATCTCAACATGCTTCAATGGGAACTGAACAGGCGCGGTTACTGCACATTCTCGCAGACCTACGGCGCCTGGAGTTTGGTACCTTGGATTGGTGGCGTCAAACCAATGTCAGAATCGGCGAAAGATATCGCTAGCTTCGTGAAAGAAGTTAAGGATAAAACCGGCGCGGAAAAGGTCGATATTGTCGGTCACTCCGAGGGTGGTGTTCAAGCCATCTACGTACCAATGACACAAGATGGTATCTCGGAGATTGTGGAGCATGTGGTTGCATTGGGACCTGCTATTCACGGTGCCAAGTACTTCGGCTTTACGGATCTATGGTACATCGGCGGGAATATCACTCGCGCCCTCGCTAAGAAGGTCATAGATGTGCTGGGATGTCCGGCCTGCGAGGACATGGCAACCGACGGTGGGATATACAACGACTTCAAGAATACCGGCAAGATCGTTCAGCCTGGGAACAAAGTGACTGTTATCATGTCCAACTCAGATACACTAGTATCACCGGATGTTAGCAGGATCGATGAAGAAGGGGCTACTAACGTGATCGTTCAAGATAATTGTCCCGACGACAAAGTTGGACATGCGGGACTCATGTGGGATAAGAGTGTTTGGAGATTAATTATGAATGCGTTGGAAGAAAACAATGACGCAGTATTCGAGTGCGAACGGGGGCTCGTTATCTAATGTAGAGGCATCTTACAACTATATATATTAATAGAGAAAACTAAGCAACATATTGGAGAGAATGATACTTATAGGGTGTTTTACGGGTTACTTACTAGAAATTTCAACCATGAAGACCTTTAGTCTTTCAAATAACTACCTAAGGTTAGAACATTTTTACAATAGGGAGCAGCAGCTCACATATTCACCATGCGTATCTTATTTTACGTCAAAACTTCAATAAGACATTTCTTCTTTAAAATAACCCCTATATTTAACCTTTAGTTATACTACGAAATCGTTTACTTTCTTGTTGTATATATGCGTCGCTAACGCCGTATCTCTATTGTCTAGGTAGGTACCTAACCTTTAGGTTCCGAGTTCCTTGTAGAATAACACATCTTCCAGGTCTATATCGTGATACGCAGCCCGAAGTGTCTTAATAACCCTTATAGTATAGTAAAAGCCAAGTGTATAAGGATTTAAATTGTCTTTCTACTAGCCGCCCTTGAAATAGAACCGTGAAATATATCTATCAATCAATTATGTACCTATTCGTATGAAAATCCATCTCTAACGCAAATCACAACCCAATACTTAGGCCTCAATCAGATCAAATATCGCATCAAGTACCAAGATGCACATATGGAACCCAGAAATAATCCATCACACTCCGCGCTGCCGGTGCCCCTAAGTTAAGTACCTTGGCATCTCTTGTCTCTTTACCTTTCCCTATCTGTTTATCCCTGAGTGCTTTAATCGCGAAATGGAGTCCTCAACTAACTGCGATATCCGTCATGCCTTCATTTCGTAGCGTTTCGTAAAGCACACTTGCTATATCAGCGCAGTGTCTATCTGATACCTCCTAAAGCGTTCCAATAACGTGCCGAAACCCAGCTAGCTGGAAAGCGCTGACAAGATGGATCCCTTCGTCAGATAATGACTCCACCTTGTTGGTGCCCGTTGAACAAGCAGAGAGATATGCAAGAAAGGGTGGGTTTTCGTGCAGGCGACTTTCGCGGAGGTTCTCTACGGTGAGGGGGCCGTGCTCCCAATCTTCAAGGTATAGAAAGCTGTTCGAGGGATCCTCTAGATCTGACCTGCCGTGACCCGCAAAATGAAATAACTTGCGTCTATGTAAATGCTTTAGAACCTCGCTTTTGGATCGCCGTGGTGTGATTGCATTGAGCTGAAGTGATGGACAGAGCTTGCTTAGTATGTCTATTTCTTTGCCAGCATACGGAAGATCTCCAGTCGTAGAGAGTCCCGGAGTGTTTTGCATTGTAACTAAAAGAGCAGAGTCGGTTTGGCAATCTTTGACTGTTTTTTGGGAATATAGTTGACGGGTGTGTATTAATTCTCTGATTGATGATGCATATGATGATATAACCTTATTTAAAATAGTTTCTTTGGAAGTATTTGTGTATATGCCAGCCGCGTGAAATGGTAGTTGACTAAGGGTGCTAGTGGCAATCCACCAAATATGAGGCCATTTGTTGTCGACAATTGGTCCTTTAAAGCCGAGTGCATTTAGGCATGGACGGTAAATAGTATGCCAGAGCCATTCTAATAAAGAGGTTAGATCAGAGGAGGGTCCCATATTTTGGGTTCTTTTTGTAATTTGATAATATGTTAACCCTGGCAATTTTATTGTTTGAATGCCATTGCCTGTTGATCAGGAACGCGTCGGATCGCTTAATATCCAGATCGGGATTTATATTAATTATAATAATAGGGCCAAGGCCTGCAGCAGCAATTAAGTCCTTTGCAGATAATTGTTGAAGAAAATTATGGAATCCGGGCTGAGTACCAATTATCTGAACAACTTCGTCAAACTCTCGGGTCGCTTCACGCCTTCGTTTTGACTTGGATTCCCAAGAGGATAAATCACTCATTAGCGAGAAGGGGAGGGGGGTTTGGGTAGGCGTATCAAGCTCATCCCGAAGCAGCGTAAACTTATCTGCTAAATCAGGATGTCTCAGTTTTAAATTAGAAATGTTTTGACGCATATCCATTTGACGCATATCCATTAAGAGGCTTGCGATAACACTACGACTAAGTTCAAGAATGCGTAAGGATTCTTGAGGCTCCTCTTCGGCGTTAAGGGAAATAGCAACAGCGGTTGATGATAAACCGGAAAGGTCAGCCAGTAGGCTTTGCAAGTCGGCGCGATTCAAATACCGCAAGGTTATAGGACCGTGAGCAATGATCGGGATGGTCTCGAGGCGTGGTGTCTGCTGCTTCGGCTACGATTTCAATCGCACGGTGTAAGTCTTCTATTGAACCTGTTCGCTTGAATAATTCGCCAATGTCCCTTCCAAGGTATTCTAACTGCTGTGTGCGGTCCGGATGACCTTTAGGTGTGAGACTAAAAGCTTCGTTTCTAATTTCGATTTTTCGATGTAGTATATCCATTGAGTCAGTTCTTGTGAAGTCCCCCATGCACTTGGTTTGCCCATATCGGAAACCCAGTTGTCTTGCAAGACTTTTTAAACAAAGAGAATAGTTCAGGTTTTCTCGAGAGGCGACCCCCGGGTACTACCATGAAACATCAGTATAATATTATGTAAAATGGATAATGTAGCCACTCACGGTTGTAGCCGAATTCTGGTTTTAGCAATCCTTGGGGTATCCTCTTGAACATTATCCTGATGCATCTGGGCAGACAACGTGGAGAAAATGACAGATCGTCGAGTACGGTCTGGGTGATCCACCGGCGTAGCTATAAGTCAACGACTAGCTTTATGGATGGCTTGCTCGAGTTGTTCCTTTTTAGGCGAGTTTTGGAAGATTAAGAAGCAGCAATAGATATACAACTCAATTTGCTCGTCACTCGTTGCATCCTCACGCACTCTGGTAAAATAATGGAGGTTATCTTCGCTCAAGTTATGAAGAAAAGACTTCAAGTCTGGGTTTAAATTGAATAAATCCATATAGGACTTAGTATTAGTTGATGGTTGGTCTTGTATTAAGTGCACCTCTACAAGATATAATGTAGGTAGGTTGTGTAAGGGTTACATTTTGCTCTATGGCTTGATTTGCTTCGAAATAACGTGTAAATCAAAACATTCAGGATACTATATTCGTAGGAAGCTTAGCCAGATATAACTCGCCTGTAATTCCTCGGAGATAAGGACATGAGGGTAAAACAAATATACTAACTACATTATACATAACTAGGTAGGTATATAAGAAGTAATAAACAACTCATAATCAATGCAAGTATATGTTACATTAGGCCGTAACACATATGTAGTAACTATAGGTTTACGTTTTATGATCTTGAATGGCTGGTGTGACTAGCCACTACATAGCCGCATGTTCAGCGCTGTAGCTTGATGCTGCGTTATGTAGGCTCTGCCTAATAATAGGTACTCCAAGACCAGAACCACAACCATTGGTCAAGAGAAGATCAATATTTCGTTAAGTACCTAAGGTAACTTTATCTATACCTATATTCAGGGGAATAGAGTATATGTACCATGGGAAGTACATTATGCGCACGGATCTTGCCCGTAACTGACAGTCACAACCCCTGATAACTGGTCTATGATATTGTTGTATGCCGTATGAGCTTGTCCCCGGAAGCTTCCAAACCCCCAGATGATCTCATTGAACTGTTCGCCTTCTCGAAAATCTACAAAATCCGTCTCGAAACGAATACCCCACAGTTCTTTAAAGGTCCAAGTTAGATATTGTGGCGTCACAATTTCTGGACTTCCCTTGATGACAAGAACTCGAGAAAGATGACGCACGAGAAAGGGTTTGGCGCGGATTCGATGCCTACCAACTTTGGCCCGAAAGCCTTTGACATTTAAGGGATGCTGAGACTGTAGGAGTAGGAATCTGTTACAGGCATTTGCGGTAAAGAATGTTAACGAGGCTGCCGATGTAGGGATATATTTTCCTATTTGCTTGTCGTACACCGGAGGATTCATATACAATGAGTAGACGCGTCCGATGCCTCGGATTTCTCCTAATACATCACGAACAGTGCAATTTGGCGGCAACCCCGTGATCCATAGCCTGCAGTTCTCTTCTTCAGGGACATCTGCGCTCAGGTTGAGAGGTAGGGAGGGATTCCCAAGATAACCCGACGCTGGAGAAGGTTGATTGTGGTCTACTGAAGCACTTGTACCCCCTGAGTGTGAATCGTGGCTTGGCTCATTCTGTAGAATGCTGTGGGGTGGCAAGACAGACTCATTCGTATACTGGTTTTCAGGATAGTAAATATTGACGGTTTGACTGGGATGCGGTTCTGGAACTCCGGACGTCCCGCTGCTTATCAAGTTACTGGAAGGTCCTAGACCTAGTTGTCGGCGGTAATGGTCTAAGACTTCACGTGGATGAGCACTACAGAAGGTTGCTTGGATGACGGCTCCTGGTAGGTAAATTCCAATTAGTCAACTGAGGAGGTCTGAGAGATTATCATGACTTACCCCCTTGCCCATTGCTTGTATATGCCATTCTGATGGGTAGAATAGGTATTGTGAAGGCTCAGATGCTTTTAGAACTAGCTTCTAATATTATTAGTAGATACATAATATATTTAAAATATAGGAGTGAGCTTACTATCTGGATAGAAACAAGCTTAATCCTTAATTGGTATTTACCGAAGTAGAATTATGGATAACCTGACGTCAAAAGTACTCCCTTTTAGAGTTAGAAGACGGGCTCACTGGGAATTAGGCTGGTATTTATATAATAATAGTTCATACATTTGGTAAATACAACAGCTGGAAATCGCATATTTCAAATAGTCAAGACGTAGTGAATATTTCTGGGACGTTCATGACGCAGAAAATATTACTCTTGGATTTGACTATGTGAAGCCCTCATCAACTACGTCGTAGGCTCTTATGTGGATGGTTCGTTCGTATCGGCAATCACGAAGAAAGTACTTAAATCCATAAACATGTGTCTATGAGCATCCCAAGGGGACATGACGAAGCAGTGTTAAGATAGTTCCAATAGTTGTGTGTTCTGAATCCGACCTATGTTGTCTCGTGTAGCCTATTAATCATATAACTTCTTATATCTCCATGGTGAATGAAAAGGCTCCCTGAAAAAACCCTCCTATTCCCTGATCCAGTCACATCCCAGTTGTTTAAGAGTTATGTCAAAGTACAGGTAAAATCGGATTATACTTTAAGCACCCTTATCATTCTCAATTACCATCTTCTCATATGATGGTAGTTTTCTAAGGTGTGATTTTGGGAGGTTTGAAGTCTAATTCTATATTTATATCATATAAGTCACTTCATTAGTCCCTCTTATACACATTTAAAATATTGATCTGTCCTTTTCATTTCAATTTCGTGTTCATAACAACTTACCAACTTACATACCTGTCTTGTTTCTTACACGTTTTAAAAGAGACATCAATTGAATCCAAGCAAAACCAATATCTCATACAATTATTCAGTTTCATCCGAAGGCTTAATATTAATAATTAAAAATGAATCTCAAAATAGGGATTTCCAAAGAGAATTATACGAAACATTACTAGATCTATAATCTAGCTTCTAAGCTTTCTTAAACACCCTCGTTTTGGTCTAAATATGAAGTTTCTTCACCCCCTTATCTGTTGACAACCTCTATAAGTCTTGTGAATAGATGTATCCCATATACTAGGAGCATCATATAGCATATCTAAGCAATGCAGCACTTTCCTAATATGACTAAGTGTCGGTCACTGCATGCGTGCATCTCGAGGAGACAGGGCGGGTGTGCTGTAGGAGTGATACAGCCCATAGACCTGCATATCTAAGCAACCAATGACATAAGCAGGGTATATTACGGCGGCTCCATAACCCTTGTCTTTGAAGGAGGAATCCCGTGAAATGGAAAAACCCATGTAGGCAGGCAGCATGACCAGGGTCTATCAACTATCAACTCGGATTGCAGTATGATCCTTTGCCAATACGTTGAGAGCACACCAATGTCCACATACAAATGCCGCTATATGCATGACAATATCCATACTTTGACCTCAGCTACTTTAAATTCTGGGGCCTTGAAAAAAAAGAAAAGTAGGGTAGTTTACTGTTGTACTGATGTTAGCCTGGTATTGCTACCTAAAATGCCACATCCCTCTGAGCGAGATGCGTTTTAGGTGGTGTCTAATAAGCATCTCATATTTTCTACATGTGTTCTGTTCAGGGTCTGAACATGAATTATAGCACAGGCCTATTAAAATGTATAAGAATATAGATCGGAAGTCTTAGGAGGTTGGGATAATAAGGCTCTGACCTGCTTCGATGCCTGGACAGAGCCTACGGGAGAATGTGGATATAACCTTAACTACCTTGTAATGTATAGCCAATAACGTTATAGCCAAGCTGCCTGATATGTAAGCTATGCGATGCCTATCTTCTTTCGTATCCTAACCCTAGTCCGGCCAATCATCCCGGAGACACTTGTACCAGTCATATATTTATGCATAGCCTCCAATCATGATCATGGGGGCATGCTGAATCTAGGACTTTTAGCTACACGGCTAGTTGACTATAAGTAGGTTCTCTTCTTAGTATGTAGGTTAATTCTTTAGTAGACGGTTAACTATTATAACTTGAAGACTACTACAACTTGAAAGGGCATATAGTACTCTAATAGCACCATGTCTTCCGACAGAGTGAGTAAAATGTCTCAGTTTAGGCAAATTAAGCCTATCGTCAAGCACCACAGCCAAGTTACAGGGAACTTGATCGTTCGAAACTATGTTAACACAGATTCAGGTTGATTTGAAGCAAGAGCCCCAAGAGGCCCAAGAGGCCCAGGTGGCCCAAGAGGTCTCTCATGATGCCAAAGAAGAGCCTCAGGATGCAGAGCAGCAGCCACAAGAAAATTCCGAAGAGCCTAAAGAGATGACGTGCGAGCTCGCACTTCTAGACAAGAAGTACAACCAGGATGGCCATAAGGTATACAGCAAACGCAATCCTAGGGATGACGGTGATAATCCAGACTGGTGGAAGTTATACGCCCTCACAGAGACGCGCCATTACAGAGAGAATGGGACATTCAAAAGCACACGGTTGCATGTGAATCCACAGCCCTTGAAACAACTTCTAGAGGATGTCATTGTTGGGTTTCCCTACGATCCCGTCAATGCTCAACAGGAAGTCGAGTTCGACCTACCGGCGTATTGTCTCTTCTTCTACCGAAAGCAGCTAGAAGAAGTAGGGACAGACCGATTTAAGGACGACGAGACCTCTCGCAAGCACCTCAAGCTTCTCCTAGATTGGATCGACAAGGTCCACGAGGAGGCTTTCAAAGCCTACCAACGCTTCGAATCGAGCGATCAGAGGCCGATCAGCTACGAGTACCTCTGGACAATATTCAAGCCCGG